AATGAAATAGAAGCAGTCATCAAAAGTCTTCCAACAAAAAAAGCCCAGAGCAAGATGGCTTCAGTGCAGAATTCAAAAAACAGCTAATACCAATACTCCTCAAAATATTCCACACAATAGAAGCAGAAGGGTCATTGCCAAACTCTTTTTACGAGGCTACAATTACTTTAGCACCCAAGACACACAAAGACACAACCAAGAAAGAGAACTATAGACCAATATTCCTCATGAACACTGATTCACACTGATGCAAAAATACTCTATAAATACTGGCAAATTGAATTCAAGAATACATCAGAGAAAATACCCAGTATGACCAAGTAGGCTTCATTCCGGTTGTTGCAGGGATGGTTCAACATATGAAAATCCATCAATGTAATCTACAATATAAACAAAATGAAAAAGAAAAAAGCCATAATCATCTCACTAGGTGCTGAAAAAACCTTTGACAAAATCAAACACCCCTTCATGATTAAGGTATTGGAGATATCATGGATAACAGGAACATACCTAAACATAATAAGAGAAACATACAACAAACCAACAGCCAACATCAAACTAAATGGAGAGAAACTCAATGTGATTTCTCTAAAATGAGGAACAGGACAAGGCTGTCCTGTCTCTCCATATGTCTTCAATATTGTTCTTGGAGTTCTAGCTAAAGCAATGAGAAAACAAAAGGAGAGCAAGGGGATACAAGTTGCAAAAGAAGAAGTCAAACTTTCAACATTTGTAGATGATATGATAGTTTACATAAGTGACCCCTACAGCTGATAAACACCTTCAGCAAACTGGCATTATACAAGAATAACTAAAAAAAAATCAATGGCCCTACTATATAAAGATGATAAAGGGGCTCAGAAAGAAATCAGAGAAACATCACCCTTTTCAATAGCCACAAACAACATAAAATATCTTGGGGGTAATGTGAACCAACAAGTGAAACCTATATAGCAAGAACTTTGTATATTTAAAAAAGAAATTAAAAAAGATACCAGAAAATGGAAAGATCTCCCATGCTCTTTGATAGGTAGAATCAACATAGTAAAAATGGCAATCTTGCTAAAAACAATCTACAGATTCAATGCAATCCCCATCAAAATACCAGCACAGTTCTTCACTGAACTAGAAAGGAGAATACTCAACTTTATATTGAAAAATAAAAGGCCCAGATAAGCCAAAACAAGCCTGAACAATAAAGGAACTTTGGGAGGCATCGCCATCCCTGACTTCAAGCTCTATTATAGAGCTATAGTCCTGAAAAAGCTTGATGTTGGCACAAACATAGACAGGAAGGCCAATGAAATCCAATTTTAAACATTAACCCACATACCAATTAACACCTGATTTTTGACAAAAAAAAAAAAAAAAAAAAAAAGAAAAAAAAGAAAAACTAAAATTATACAATGGAAAAAAGAAAGCATCTTCAACAAATGGTTCTTGTGTAACTGGATGCTGACTTATAGAAGACTGCAGATAGAGCCATATTTATGGCCATGCACAAAACGTAAGTCCAAATGGATCAAAGATCTCAACATAAACCCAGCCACACTGACCGTCTTAGAAGAGAAAGTGGAAGGTACCCTTGAACAAATAGGTTCAGGAGAATGGTTCCTGAACAGAAGACTAGTAGCAAAGACAATGAGATCAACAATTAATAAATGGGACCTCCTGAAATTGAAAAGCTTCTGTAAGGCAAAGGACATAGTCAACAAGACAACAGGACAGACCACAGAATGGGAAAAGATCTTTAACAACCCCACATCTGACAGAGGGCTGATTTCCAAAATATACAAAGAACTCAAGAATCTAGTAACCAAAACACTAAATAATCTAATTACAAAGCAGAGTACAGAACTAAATAGAGAATTCTCAATAGAGGAATCTAAAATGGCCGAGAGGCCCTTAAGAAAGGGCTCAGCTTCCTTAGCTATTGGTAACTTCAAATCAAAGCAAGTCTTACTCCTGTCAGAATAGATAAAATCAAAAACACCAATGACACTTTATTCTGGAGTGGATGTGGAGAAAGGGGAACAATTCTCCACTGTTGGTGGGAGTGTAAACTTGTACAGTCACTTTGGAAATCAGTATGGCCAGAAAAGCTAGGAGACAAGGAAGACCCTAAGTGAGACATACATGGTCCCCTAGAGAAAAGGAAAGGGACAAGACACCCCAACCAAATTGGGAGCATGGAGAGAGGGGAGAGGGAGTTAGGAGTAAGAGGAAGGTAAAGGTGAGCATGGTGGAGCTGGAAGACTGAGTCAAGGAATGGGCAGAAAGTGCAAAAAAAAGGGGGGGATACCATAATAGAGGGAGCCATTATAGGTTTTAAGTGAAATCTGGCACTAGGGAACTATCCAGAGATCTACAAGGATGACCCCAACTAACAATCCAAGCAATAGTGGAGAGGCTACCTTAAGTGTCCTTCTTCAGTAATGATATTGATCCCTACTTTATATGCTATCCTAGAGCCTTCATCTAGTATCTGTTGGAAGCAGAAGACACCCACAGCTAAACACTGAGCCAACTCTTGGAATCCAGTTGCAGACATGAAGGAGTGATGAGGAAAGCAGTCAAGGCCAGGCTGGAGAAACCCACAGAAACTGCTGACCCAAACAAGGGGGAGCTCATGGAATCTAGTCTGATAGCTGGGAAATCAGCACAGGACTGACCCAGATTTCATGAATGAGATGTTAGTTGGGAGGCCTGGGCAATCTATGGAGCCTCTGGTAGTAGATCAGTATTTTCCCTAGCATAGGAATAGACTTTGAGGGCCCATTCCACATAGAAGGACACTCACTCAGCCTAGACACATAGGGGATGTCCTGGATCCTGCTCCTTATGATAGGGCAGACTTTGAAGACTCGCCATGGAAGGCCTCGCCCTTCCTTAGGAGCAGAAAGGGGATGGTATGGTAGATGCTGGGAGGCATAGAGGAGGATGGGGTGTGAGAACTGGGTTTGACATGTGAAACAATCTTGTTTCAAATTTGAATAAAAATACAAAAAAGGGAAAATTATTAAGATATGGCTTCAGAGAATATTATATAGCACTGAAAATTATACACTTACCCCCCAAAAAAAAAACAGTGAACTTTCCATTTTTTTAACAAATAAGAGAAATTAGGAGAAATTTTAATATATAAACATCATTTTTCTAAAAAAAAAAAAAAAAAAAAAAACAGTAACAGTAGTTAAGACCTGGGAAATATATTAGATACATTCAATAAGCTGTTATTTTGTTAAGAATAAGGTTCTAGAACAGGAGAAGGGGAGGAAAAGAGATAGCAAAACTGAGGACATGTGTATAATAGAGGCAGTAAACAATAACTAGTTAACTAATTTAGTCTAGAATCTTTGTATAGTGGAATAAAAATTTGTAAAGACTATAAATTTATACAAACAAACAGAATAAAAAGCAAGTTGATTAGGACAATGATGTACTTTCCATTGGAAGACTTTAGTGGTGGTAAAGATTAATAAGGATTCAGCAGGCAAAGAGTAGTGACATCATTGTAAGAAGTACGGTTTTTCCGCCCGCCACCGAGTCTTGTCCTGCTGCCACGCCAGCCCCAAATAATACACAGAGACTCTGTATTTGATATTATGCTGTTGGCCAAGTGCTAGTTTCTTATCGGCTAGCTATGTCTTAATTATCAACCCATTTCTATGTATTTCCATGTGGTCTTACCGAGAGTGGAGGAATGGCAGTTCTGTTCTCTCCAGGCTCTCCATCCTGACTCCTCCTTACTCCTTCCTATTTCCTCCTTGTTTCCTATTCCCTTCTATCTTCCTTTCCTATTGGCCAACAGTGCTTTATTCATTATCCAGTATGAGAAACATATATACAGAATGACATCTCCCATCACATCATGGAAAATACAATGCCGGTCTTTACAAGTGAATGACACCTATTTCTCAGTTTTGTCAAGAACTGCACAAGTAGAATCCATTGCCTGTCACTAAGGAGGTAGTGATGATGATTGCTGTTTTTGCCATGACCATGGAAATTTTGCTTGCCTTCAAAAGCAACTAACCTCTTTATTTCTTCCCCTCAGTACTCCCTTGCACATGTGCACACCTGTAATTCTAAGGCTTCAGGAGCTTTCTTTATTTGTACATTACCTTGTTCCGTTGGCCTTTAGAACAATGATAGCTCACCAGGGAGCTCTGAGTGTCTTTGATGAAGAAGTGACAGAGCTTTACACAGGAGACAAAAATAGGCAGCATTTATATTTTCAAGAAGTTAAAATCAAATACTAGAGTGCAGATCCCTGATGAATAAACCAGTGATTCTCAAAATGGAAGAATTGAAAGGTAAGTTATAGCACTCCACTTTAATACAATGTAGTCTCTATTTACCTTGGTAGATAGATCGCAAAGTTTGGGTGTGGGGATGATCAAAAAACAATTTACTTCTCATTGTAATTTTCTAGCAAGAATTAGATCTGATAAATCATCAGGATCTAGCACTCAGAACCTCACGATAACCAAGTGTTCATTGAGTTTTATACTGAACATTTAGTCAGAGTAGAGTGAAGTTCATTTTGAAAATTGTATGGCTAGTACCAGCTAATTTGCTGTGAGGTCTCTGGGCAGCATTTGAAGCTACTTTAGAACAAGATATGCAGGAAGCCTTTGGCCTAAATGATATTTGAGGTCAGGTTCATAGCCAGGTACCAAGATCATTGAGTCAATTGCCTTTGCGATGAAGCAGTTGTATCTATAAGATGCTGGAGCAAGGGGTGGGAGAAGTTAGAAAAGGAAAGAGTCACACAATATTCTAAATTAAAGAAACACATTCAGTAAATAGGAGTCCTGAGTTGTGAGAATCTGATAAGAATTGAGTATGTAGTTCCAATAGATCACTGAAACTGTTTGCTGAAGTTCTTTAGCTGCTACTATATAACATGAGTTATCCCAAGAAACATTCCAACATAACATTCCCAAACAAAAGACTGCAAGGCACGTGGTTGGCCAATATTTTCAAAAGACACTGACCTTAAAACACAAGTGTAGAATCCACTGTCTTGTGCCTCAGCGGAGTGAAACCATATGGAATCTTCCTCTTTGCTCATCCTGACCTCTGAGAAGATAATAGGCTCTTCCAAATCACCTTTGTTTTTGTACCACATGAGCCTAAGCCCAGTACTCTGGGCCATGCTATAGTTGGTACGGATATAACTGTAGAAAAGGGCACATTTCACTCTGACAGGTTCGCCTGCCAAAGCCATGTATGTCTTGAGATCCACTGACCAGTCAATACAGCCATCCACTGAAAGGAAACAGACAAGACATGAGATACAGGGAACATCATTCATAATAGCAGCAAGAGATGTAATCCCACTCACAGGGACTTTTTTGTGTCAGAGCTTTATAAAGATGTATTTATTCAATCCTATCAGTGGCATTATTCAAGACCCCAGCATTTTATTTAGATGTTAGCAAGCAGAGATGCTGCTGAACTGAGTCTGTGTCCTTAAGTATTTTCCCATCACTTTGAACACTCCGCTTGGAAGGCCCCACCCTTCCTGGGGAGCAGAAAGGGGATGGGCTGGGGTTTGGTGGGAGTGATATGGGAATGGGAGGGTGAGGGGACTGGGATTGACATGAAAAACAACCCTGTTTCAAATTTAAGTTTAAAAAAGAAAAAAAATAGACAAAAAATATTTCATGAAGTATTTGTGTAGTGATTAGTGACTCTGTGAGCTTTAGTGTACCCTAAATCATGACTAATATATAAGCTCCAAATAGTACAGGCAAATCTAGCAAACGCCATTTAGCTTTTCCCTCTCACAGTTTGTATTTTATGTGTGTGTGTGTCTGTGTGTGTGTGTGTGTGTGTGTGTGTATACACAAATATATCAAATATTTTGGATAAGGTTAAATTTTCCGTACTATATTCCATTTAAAGTCTACTATTATAGCTAATAAAATAAGTCACAATATAAAAAAAGAGTAAAGAAAACTGAGTTTATTGCAAAACATAAAAGTATTTTCCTATCCTCCAGAGCAATGTTTAGGTAGAAATCTGCTAGATAAGCTCCTCCACAAGGCTCTCTATGTGGTTGTCTCAGGGCTGCCTCACCACGATCTCCAGATCCTCACTGCTAAGTGAATCTCTCCTTTAGGTCAGTAAATCTTTCCTCTGTGAGATCATATGAACCTGGACTACTAACTTGACACTGACATGCCAGTTTCAGGTAATTCTGATTGATCATTTGGTAGGAATCTTATAAAACAAGCATTTCTAAGAGACTTATGCCTGAACCAGGCCCAATTCTAAAATTAACACTTGTATTGATACTTTATGGAGGAGGACACTGAGATTCAGTTAAGAACATTTTCCCCAAGGACACACAGAGATAACAAATGGTAGGAAGCCAATCTCTGATCAGAGACTCTATATATTCCTACCTTATACTATCTATATTTATAAATTTACAATAGTCACCTAAAGTGATTATTGCTACCATGTGTGTGTCATTTTTCCATGGTATGACCTATTAATATCAAATATTTAAACATAGACTGCTATCTCTTTATACACCTAGACCTCCTTTGTTGCTTAGGTGCTAAGTTCTCATGAGAATATATTATGTTAATGTCAGTTTCAATCAAATAATTTTGGGTGGATGAATTTAATATTCAAGAAATAGAGATACAGTAAAATATCCTTTTCCAGAAGCATTAGAAATAGATGCAAAAGATAATTTACTATGCTATTCAACACAACCAACATAGATATTATACTTCTGAATGCCTATTGTTTTTCAAGAATTCCATCAAATGATCCTGTGTCCTTTTATATTACCTGATTATCCTTTATAACCCATATTATAAAATGTGTAAATATTTACATTCTAAAATAATGTTTGCTTATAATTCTGCAAGCTGGTTTGTTTTCTTTTTCAGATGTTGAGAACTTTGTAAGCCAGGGTGCTTAATCTTTTAACCTCAGTTGACAGGAAGCTTAGAGCCAAATGGAATGCTCAAATGTAATAACTATCATACTTCAAAGTTTCACTTTCTCTATATAAAGGGTTATTGAACTAGGGACAAGGGCACTCAAGGGAAAGGTATTCTAATAGGCTTTAGATTGTTGGCAAAATAATGTGCCTATTCACAAAGACATACTTTTCTGGGAAGATTTTATACTACATTTCATTAGATTGTCAAAGGAGTATGTAGCCTAAAAATTCCATGTATTTAAATTAAATTTTATTTAAATGAAAACCAATTTTATTTTTCTTTTTCATAATTTTTTTTTGTGATTTAGCAGAGCAAACCCATGCCTTGTTCAAGTTAACCAGGTATTCTGCTACTGAGTTACAACCTAAGTATGGCTTCTAATTTTTTTCTAATGTCAGTTTTCACTGCTCTGGTTCATATGGGCTTTTATTATGAGCTCCTCGAGTAGTATGTGATGTAGCAGAACAGTAATTGTTTTGGGATTAAAAAATTTGACTTATCAAAATTATCTCAAACTGTAATTACTGTCCTAATAGGAAAAAACTGTGGTTTTATTTTTCACATTTCCTTCCTAAACTCCTCCAGATTCCTTCTCTAACCTATCTGTTGTTATGTAATCTAGATAATTGTGAGCTCAAGGTACATTTCCAACCTTAGCAGGCCAATTGTGTCTATAAACTATGAGGCATGGTTGTTATTAAAGATAATAAAAATATTTGCTCTTGAGTCACAACATCCATGCCCACCATCAGCTTGTGACATTTAACTGCCATTAGAATTAGCTTTATCTCACAGAACTTGAAGGCATACTGAGAATTCATTTCTTGTTGAATATCATCTGAGTTGAACATGCATTTGAGTTAATAGATGTAGAGCCCCTTGTTTTAAGCATCAGGGAAAGAGTATTTATAAATAATGTAGTCTACAACCAGAACAGATATTTAGTAACTAGGGGAAAATACAATTTCTAAATATCATTCTTTTAATTTTCCCCTACTTTTAATATTCACAATACATGTTTTTGCCATGCCTTATTTCAAGAGGCCTAATGGAGTTTTCCCAAAAGAAAGACAAAGTGTATGATGGTAGGCACCTGATATTAAATAATTTTCACAATAAAACACACTAGGAGAAATCTATTCCCATGAGTTGAGGTATTGTAGTTTTATAACTAAAGATCATTAGATCACTACTGGATTCTAACAAGGTGGTTTGATTTGTTTTTATTGGATTTCTATTCTTAGCTGTTCACCTGCAGGAGAAGCATGGGTGGTATACGATATAGTACATTTATATTTTTTTTTGATTGGGTACTAGTGAAAGCAACTAAAAAGTATAGAGTGAACTTTGAGGCCTGTAAAGTCAGATGGAATGCTATTATTAAGGGACTGAAGTCTTGATTAAGTAGGAAACACAGAGACAAGTCAGAGTATCATAAAAATGGGTGGGTGAAATGTCACACATGACTGAATTTTCAAGTGCCACCAAGAGATACAAATGTAAGTTACATTGCTGCCACAAAGGGATGGTAATAACACATTACACCTCCAGAACCATTTGCATGTTGAACCACCATCCATATTTAGAAAACAGCTAAAGGAATGCATCTGAGATGCAGCTGGCAAAGGTGGAAGCCATAACCGAGTAGGTGACATGGTGCAACTGAGTAGTCCACAGAGAAGGCTAGCCTGTGAGCCTGGCCTCATCAAGCCAGCATCTAGCCCACAGAGCCATCCCAACCTATTCTATTCATAATTCCAGTGTCAGTTCTGTCAGCAGAACCCCCACAGTGCTTCAGCAAAGAGTGTTTTCCATATAGACTGGATTCCCTCACAAGTGATTCAATAATGAGGTCTCTCTGATTCATTACAAGTGTGAACAGACACACAACAGGCAGGAAAACACTGTTTTCCCCCAAACGTTGAAATTCTGCAGTTGGTGAAGTTTATTACAGAAAAATACATTGAAATTATAAAAGGGTGTCTCCTTAGTGTCTCAGAGCTACCACCTTGATTCGGATGTATGGAAGGCTCACAAATTATTGCTCTTGATTTAATCTTCTTGGCAGTAAATGCTTTAATGGTTAAGCTTTCCAACACAATTTTAATGGAACAAAGAAAGCCACTTTAATTCCATTTTTATTCCAATCTGCAAAACAGGTAAACAGGTATGTAATTGAGGATGTTGATGTGAAAATTCAAAATGGGGTATGCAGACTGTCTGAATGCTTATTGTGACATTCATGCAGCTTATTATGTCAAGTGCAGTCTGCAGCACCCTAGGTGACATTAGCAATAGCCTCTTTATAATTAAGTTTCTCACTGCCATACATACCTGCCTTAGAAACAAAGCCCTGTGGGAAATGAATGAATCCTTGTAAGTGGATATGATGCCAATGCTAACAACCATCAATTGTTTTCCAGGGAAAAAGCACACTGAATGGAGTTAAATTAGACTCCAATGGCCATACACATTACAACTCTTTTGCAGGTACAGTGGGAAAATGGATAAACACGTGCACATATAATTGTCATTTCTGTATTTTTATCTAAAATTTGGAATCTGTCTCAAAATCCCCATTAAGTAAAATGCCTCATTGATCCATGAGAAACTGCAAATTCCAGACATTGGATGAGAAGCTTGTTGCAATTTATAACTTCTAGCTTCATAGTAATTTATTGTGTATGTTTAATACATTCATTTTAAATACAATTTTGTTTTTTTATTTTGTTTGTTTGTTTGTTTTAACTGTGTCAGCTAACTTTATCCCATTCATTTTTATCATCAGCCCTTGCTCTTCAATGAATAGGGTAGTAATTAGGGGCATTTCCTAAAATTTCCACTAGAGGGAGAGCTACCCAAGTCTTTGTAAAACACTTATATTATCATTGCCTACTTTCTTAAACTACAAATTTGCTAGAGGTCAAGCACTAAGCACTGGCTGTTGAGGAGGAATCACAACACAACTATGAGGATGCAACGCTGTGATGATAGAGGTGGTCAAACACTGGGGATGCAGCAGAGATCTTTCTCAAAAGGGAGGACGGAGAATATGCACAAAGTGAGAAGTGGAAACACCAGAGCAGCAGAAAGTGAAATTCACTGAGCCCTTAACCTTAGGATAGATGAGCACAACACTAGATGTTTTGTAAAATGTGTTGTGTTTTTGCTTGTTTGTTTCCTCTGATTTAATTCTCATATCCTCTCAAGAATAAAAGGATTCAATGTTCCCATTACAAATAAGAAAACAAAAGCTCGGAGAGTTTAAAGTGACTTGCTCAAGGTCACTCAGGGTAAAATGA